CGGCAAAGGGAAAGCAGGACCCGGGCCTGATCAATGCCGGCAAGGAGACGGTCACCGTCGTGCCCGGGGCATCCTACTTTGGCAGCGACGACTCGTTTGCCATGATTAGAGGGTAAGTGATGCGTGCAAACGATGTCTTTGACCTGCACACCTAGAAACCTGCTGCAAGGCGCGCGCATCGTACATGCATCGGTTATACAATTTTTTAGGGGCCCGTTGTCAGAAACTATCATGAAAATTATAATATGGGTATCCTAAGTCTTTGCCGTAACTTGCGCACATGTTTGTGAGGCAAGTTATGACGTCACCGACTTAAGATGGTCGTGACATTTATGGTATGGTCGTGAAATTTATGGTGGTTTCTCACAATGGGCCCCAGGTCCATAGAATTATCGCAAAAGAAAACATTTTCATGTTTGAAAGAATTTTTCATGTTTGAACCATCGATGATATCGATGGTATGATATCGATGTAATGTTTCGTGTCATTTTTACCTGTTTATTGCTCATACATGCACGTATTCCTAGTTGTTATATAGGTGCACTCACTGCACTGAGTGAAATTTCTACGCACAGCATAATCTTATATGTTACACTTGAAGCCGTTTTTGTTTGTGTTTACAGGGGACATGTTGACTTGACGATTCTTGGAGCAATGCAGGTGTCACAGTACGGTGACCTGGCAAACTACATGATTCCTGTACGTGCGCACATAGTTAACGAGTTATTTACGCATAATCCGAGCTTAAAATGACAAATCATTTTCCATAAATCTGAGATCGAAATTTAAGTTATGTTGTCGGGATGTTAAATTAGAGCATAAAAACAAAGTATTGTTTTTATTAGATTTGTTTTGTTTTAACTGGTTTTGTTGGGGAGAAAACATGTATTTCACTGCTGACATCGACTGTTGTATTATTTCAGGGTAAAATGGTGAAAGGAATGGGTGGAGCCATGGATCTTGTGGCCAGTCACAGCGCTGGCACAAAAGTAGTCATAACGATGGAGCACACAGCCAAGGTGCGTCTCCCTGCGGGTATACCTGATCCCGCTACCCCGCGATAAACCGATCTTGCCTGAATACAGGGTTCGACACTAACCCACGTCCGACCGACCTAGTCGGGTAAATGCTTGGTCCGGTCGCATACAACCAGAGTGCTAGTAGCCCGACTGGTCGTGTTAGAATTGGTCATAAATTATATATTGCACTGAAAGGTCACCTCTGGCTAGACTGGTTCGCGGCCGCACTGTTTGTCGCAGAGCGCGTACATTGTCTAGCAGAGCGTGAGGCCGGATACCAGTCTACCCTTCGGCAAAAACAATAACGTGGCTTGCTGCCAGCCGCAGTAGACGATCGATAAACCATGCGCTCGTGCGATGCACGAATGATGCACTTGAACTCAGCCCACGCGCGATTTAAAGCGCGGGTAACAGCATCTATGAAGTCATACGATGACACACTCTTATCTAAATAAAGTTTTTCATAACAATGGTCTGGGTCTGGGCTAGTGAAAGTTAGGTCAGGGCTAGTGGTTTTCCTCAGTTACTAGCCCTTATTATATAATTATGACCAATTACGAGACAATTAAGGTTTGGCGTGTGTCGCTATGAGCAGGCTTAATGTCGGATTGAAACGTGTGCCCCTAACGCATGTGCCACACTTGCAACCCTACTCTCGTATGCCTGCACCCTGTACTCTTACCCGCGCTTCATGCGTGTCAAGGTCACGCTCCAGATTAAACCTGCGCGCTGAAACAGACACAGCATGTGTACAGTGTACAGCATTTCATGTTGGCCTGGAATATTATATGATCCCATAGCGTGCGGGGATTATAGACATAGACTAGATCAAGAGCATATTAAGCATGGGCTTAATAGGCTCTTGAGGCTCTTGACGCCATACTTAATACGCTCTTGACTAGATTATAGGATTAGGTTAGTTTACAGATGTAGAATACAGGTCAGAAGAGGGGTCACTGTTTGTGCACATCATATCGTCAGTGTCATGTGCACTACTCGAGGTGAATTTAAACAATGGGCAGAGGTTTTATTTTAATTATTGCGATTAAATTTGTAAATTAATTCGCCAGCACTATGAGCCAGTATCGTTATTTCCAGACGTGTAAGCAGATAAGGTAACGACAAGCGCAACTTTGCGATATGATTTCCGCATCGTCTTTGTTTTTCTGTGTGGCAGATCCGACGTATGATATCATCGTACGTCGGGGAGAATGCAGAGTTCGAGCGACAATACCTGTCGGGAGAACTAGAGGTGGAACTGACTCCGCAAGGGACCCTGGCCGAGCGCATCCGGGCAGGTGGCGCCGGTGTGCCAGCGTTCTACACACCCACCGGCTTCGGCACGTTGGTCCACGAAGGCGGCGCGCCCATCAAGTACGGCAAGGATGGTGCCGTGGAAATAGCCAGCAAACCACGCGAGGTAGGCAACTCGATCACATATTCTATGTGATCTTTGTCTGCGTACGTGCCGGTGTGCTCGCGTTCGTGGGGGTTAATATGAGAAAGATCTCTAAGAGTATAATGTGAAGCCTCACGCACGTGAACACCGTTCTTTGTTTACAGTCGAGAGACTTCAACGGCCGCCACTACGTCATGGAGGAAGCCATCACGGGTGACTTTGCTCTGGTGAAGGCGTGGAAGGCTGACAAGGCGGGAAACCTTATATTCAGGTATCACAGAGCTCTGACGCAGCGTGCTTTAGCACGTGCCACGATAACCATCTGGCTGTGTTAGCTAGCTGTCACCTCTCTATCACGGAAACCTTTCTATAACGGACACCTTTTGCATTTTACTTGAGTTAACTCTATATACAGGTTTAATAATTGAATTAAAAAACAAAGAAATCGGTTTACATTGGCCGACCTAGCAGCATTATCTGAGGGGTGGGCGTGGACGTCTGCTCTGATGGATGAGTGGATTAATCCTTGCTGAAATCCTCAGGTGTGGTGACCACCGTGAGCCAGTGACACTTGCAATACAATCAATGCTCTTCTACTACGGTTGTACTTTCTACGTTCTCGCAGTTGCGCACCTGATCGCGAGCGTTCGCTTCATGATTGTTTAGGAAGACGTCGCGTAACTTCAACCCGGCGATGTGTCGCGCGGCGCGCGTGACGGTGGCGGAGGTCGAGGAGGTCGTCGACGTGGATGAGATCGACCCGGAACACGTTCACGTGCCCAGCATCTACGTTCATCGCATCGTCGTCGGCAAGAGCTACGAGAAACGCATAGAGGTGCGCGCGACGACGACGACAACCACCATGACGACGACGATGAACGTGACGATGCAACGATGGTGACAGTGACAGTGACGACGACAACGATGATGACAGTGACAGTGATGACGACAACGATGCTGACAGTGACAGTGATGACGACAACGATGGTGACAGTGACAGTGACGACGACAACGATGATGACAGTGACAGTGACGACGACAACGATGGTGACAGTGACAGTGACGACGACAACGATGATGACAGTGACAGTGACGACGACAACGATGGTGACAGTGACAGTGACGACGACAACGATGATGACAGTGACAGTGACGACGACAACGATGGTGACAGTGACAGTGACGACGACATAGATGATGACAGTGATAACGACAACGGTGATGACAGTGACAGTGACAACGACAACGGTGATGACAGTGACAGTGATGACGACAACGATGATGACAGTTACAGTGATGACGACAACGATGATGACAGTGACAGTGATCGACGACAACGATGATGTCAGTGATGAATGACAATGATCGGTGACAGTGACAGTGGATTGACGACATCATGAATGACAGTGACAGTGACGACGACAACAAATGATGACAGTGACAGTGACGACGACAAACGATGATGACAGTGAGACGACATGACAGTGACAGACGAAAAAGATGATTGTCAGTGGATGACCGAAAAACAAGTGATGACAGTGCGTGAGCGACAACGATGATGTCAGTGACAGTGGACGACGACGAACGATGATACTTAGTGACGACGACAACGATGATGTCAGTGACATGTGACTGACGACAACGATGAATGTCAGTGACAGTGACGACGACAACGAATGGAAAAAAAAAAATGACAGTGACAGTGACGACGACAACGCATGTGACAGTGACAGTGATGACGACAACGTGATGACAGTGACAGTGACAGTGATGACGATCAACGATGATTCAGTGTACAGTGATGACGCACATAGATGATGACAGTGACAGTGGATGACGACAAGATGCTGACAGTGACAGTGACGACGACAACGATGATGACAGTGACAGTGACGACGACAACGATGATGTCAGTGATGATGACAATGATGGTGACAGTGACAGTGATGACGACAACTAATGACTAGTGACATGACGACGACAACCATGATGACAGTGGACCAGTGACGACGACAACGGATGATGACAGTGATGACGCAGTGACAGTGACGACGAACAACGGATGATGTCAGTGATGACGAAAATAGGTGATAGACGTCGACAGTGATGACGACAAACGATGATGAACGTGACGTGACGACGAACATGTCGATGATGACATTGACGACGAACTAAGACGATGATGACAGTGACAGTGACGACGGACAACGATGATGTCAGTGACAGTGACGACGACGCCGGCCACGTACGATGATGACATGATGACGAACAACGATGATGTCGAGTGACCAGTGACGACGACAACGATGATGACAGTGAAGTGACGGAACGACGACAAACGTGCTGACAGTGATGAGCAGACAACAGATGATGTCAGTGACAGTCGACGCCACGACAACGTGAGTGACGAGTGATGACGCGACAACGGTGATTGAAGTGACACGTGACCCCGACGACAACCGCGATGATGGACAGGTGACAGTGACAATGACGACAACAAGGAGAACAGTGACAGTGACACACGATGGTGACAGTGACAGTGACGACGACAACGATGATGAAAGTGACAGTGATGACGACAACCCGATTGCTGCTGCTATACGCTACTATACTGCTATGTATTGCTGCGCTATTCGCTGCTGCGCTATTGCTGGCTGCATTGCTGCTGCTATGTTGCTGCATAATGCTGGTGCTATTGCTGCTTGCTATTGCTGCTGGCATATTAGCTGCTGGCTTCTTGCTGCTCTATTGCTGCTGCTATTGCTGCTGCTATTGCTGCTGCTATTGCTCATGTCTATCTCTCTCTCCGGCACGTACAGAGGCTGACCCTAGCGAAGGAGGAAGGTAAGGAGCACACCGTCGACGCCGGCACAGCTGATGCGCGAGCGGATCATCCCGGCGAGCCGCGTGCGAGTTCGCCGACGACATGTACGCCAACCTCGGCATCGGCATGCCGATGCTGGCCAGCAACCACGTGCCGGAAGGCATGGTGCTGCATCTGCAGAGTGAGAACGGAGTGCTGGGACTGGTGAGTAACTTGCGCGGCGCCGCGATCAACGGGGAGTGCCTGCCGCTCCGCTTGCTGCTCGGTTGTTCTTCCGATCGTAAGCCGACTTAAACGGCTCACTTCTCGTGTTAACGGCAATTAGTACTTGATTACAGCTTCTAAAAGTTCTGGTAGCGTGTGTCACTCACCCTCGGGCTCTCGCAGGGCGCAGCAGCGGCCGCAACCACGCGTGAGAGATTCGGCGATGGAAGAATCGCTCCCGGCATGCACGCGCAACGTGTCAGCGGTGTCCTCTCTCTCGTTGTAGGGACCGTCCCGGCAAAGGGAAAGCAGGACCCGGACCTGATCAACGCCCGGCAAGGAGACGGTCACCGTCGTGCCCGGGGCATCCTACTTTGGCAGCGACGACTCGTTTGCCATGATTAGAGGGTTAAGTGATGCGTGCATAACGATGTCTTTGACTGCAGCACCTAGAAACTCTGCTGCAAGGCGCGCGCAATCAGTACATGCATCGGTTATACACTTTTTAGGGCCCGTTCAGGAGTGAAACACACTGATAATTGGAGCTACTGGTCGCAGGCAGGACAGTGCTCTGAGGAAGCACTGGTCGTCAGTAAGGCACTGGTCTAGATTTCTGGTCTAGCAAAGTTAATGACTCGGATGTGGGGACGTTTTATAACGGTGGGGATGGTGCAATTTGTGATGTGCATTCTAAAAGGTATTCTTAAACATGTATTATTATTTACACGTTTTTGATACAGACTGATGCGTAGTAAATCGAACAAGTCCGCAAGTCGATTTGAAAGATCAGCGTCTCCTGAAGACCGGCCATTATTTTTATTATCATCAAATATTATCAAAAATATTTTTTACGCGACGGGCTGATTCAGTGATTGGTCGGATGCCCAAAGTATTATCGAATTAGCAGAGGGTTAACCAGCAGACCTAGAAAACGAAACAACAAACATGGAGAGTTTTGTGTACTTCGCATGGACGTTAGCTTCGGGAATTTGACATTTTGAGTCATATATTATGATTAATTTAAACATTACATTCATTAGAAAATGTAGAGGTTAGTATACAAAAAAAAAGAAAATAACAAAATAATAAGTTTGGTATATTTTTTTATTTCCTGTAGCGGCGAGCGCTAAAAATTACCTTTTTTTACGGAGCTATTTTAGGCTTACTTTTCGAGCATGATTTTGTTAAAAGATGTTCATAATTTGGATGGCACTCACTGACTGCTAATATTATTCATCAGCATTCAGCACTCCTGCACTCAGTATTAACCCAACCAGGCGTGGTGACTAACGTCAATAGTACTAACGCCTAGCAATACCGTTCTTGAGCTACACCAGTATGAACTATCATGTTAAGAAATCGTCAACAACTTAAGCATTCGATCACATTTTTTTATCTCATTCACTCGACTAAGAAACCAATCTCACATTCTTATTCAATTTCATTCACACAGACAGATATGCAGCTACACAGTCTACACATAGTCAGTTGTAACTAGACAAATACAGGCAATCAAGAATTATAATCAGTAATGATGTATGGTATATTTTCAAAGTTTCCTTTTTTTTACTTCATTTCCTTCATCTTTCAACTTTCTTTTTACATCGACTAGCAAGTCAGACTTCAGAGCGTGTTTTTAGTTACTTTGAGTATGTTAAAAAACTTGTACTGGAAATCTCTAGGAAATGCCGGGAGCTCTGGGCAAGGTTTACTTTCGTTTTTCTCCTCCCCAGTCCAGGGTACCCCATGCATAGACAATGCTGCCGCACATCCGCAAGTCACAAGTGCCTAGAATCTAGAATATATTCTAGAAATTGCTTTCTAGATATCTAACTGATAAAATAGGTCCCTCTTCTACGTAAGAAAAAGTGACGAAATTCAGTTAACAGGCTTTGGATTACGTATACGTGCGTGCCAGTGATGCAACTGGTCGTGCCCTCCACTCCCCACGATAACCCCTGCGATATAAAACTTATTGTTATGTGGGCTATAAAAACTCTGGGCTGCCGCGATGTAGCAATCGATTTTCTTAGACTGTCGCGAGTTTTTATACGTGTGGCGAATCATGCGTTGGCTGCGTTGAGTGTGCGGCGATTATCTAGTCGCCCCGCCGGACCAGCTGACACGAGCAAGCAGTCGCCCGGTCAATTTTGCTAATCGGGCCAACTTGGCGACATGGCGACCGCTTAGTTTCTCACGGCTGCGTATGTCAGAAACTATCATGAAAATTATTGGGTTATCGTAAGTCTTGCCGTAACTGTGCGCACATGTTTGTGAGGCAAGTATGACGTCACAGACTTAAGATGGTCGTGACATTTATGGTATGGTCGTGAAATTTACTGATGGTTTTCCACAATGGCCCCAGGTCCATAGAATTATCGCAAAAGAAAACATATGGGGATGCGCGGTAGAAAATGCTTGGTTTTTGAATGTTTCATGTTTGAACCAGGTATGATATCGATGTAATGTTTCGTGTGATTTTTTAGCCTGTTTATTGCTCATACATGCACGTATTCCTAGTTGTTATATAGGTGCACTCACTGCACCGAGTGAAATTCTTACGCACAGCATAATCTTATATGTTAAACTTGAGCGGTTTTTGTTTGTGTTTACAGGACATGTTGACTTGACGATTCTTGAGCAATGCAGGTGTCACAGTACGGTGACCTGGCAAACTACATGATTCCTGTACGTGCGCACATAGTTAACGAGTTATTGACGCATAATCCGAGCTTAAAATGACAATTCATTTTCCATAAATCTAAGATCGAAATTTAAGTTATGTTGTCGGATGTTGAAGTTAGAGCATAAAACAAAGTATTGTTTATTTAGATTTGTTTTGTTTAACTGGTTTTTGTTGGTGAGAAAACATGTATTCACTGTTGACATCGACTGTTATATTATTTCAGGGTAAAATGGTGAAAGGAATGGGTGGAGCCATGGATCTTGTGGCCAGTCACAGCGCTGGCACAAAAGTAGTCATATACGATGGAGCACCCAGCCAGGTGCGTCTCCCTGCGGGTATACCTGATCCCGCTACCCGCGCGATAACCGATCTCGTCCGGAATACCAGGGTTCGACGATAACCCACGTCCAACCAACCTAGTCGGGTAAATGCTTGTCCGGTCGCATACAACCAGAGTGCTAGTAGCATGACTGGTCGTGTTAGAATTGGTCATAAATTATTATTGCACTCTGAAAGGTCACCTCTGGCTAGACTGGTTCGCGGCCGCACTGTTTGTCGCAGAGCGCGTACATTGTCTAGCAGAGCGTGAGGCCGGATACCAGTCTACCGCTTCGGCAAAAACAATAACGTGGTTGCTGCCAGCCGCAGTAGACGATCGATAAACCATGCGCTCGGTGCGATGCACGAATGATGCACTTGAACTCAGCCACGCGCGATTTAAAGCGCGGGTACAGCCATCTATGAAGTCATACGATGACACACTCTTATTAAATAAAGTTTTTCATAACAATATGGTCTGGGTCTGGCTAGTGAAAGTTAGGTCAGGGCTAGTGGTTTTCCTCAGTTACTAGCCCACTAGCCCGATGGTCTAGTGAAATAAAAAGTTAATGTTGAACCCTGCCGAATACCAAATCAGTAAATTTTAAACGATATTGTAGCTGTTAATGCCCCATCGTATTCATCTCTGTTCTATTCTGTTTTATTTCTTTAGAGAGCACTGTGATGTGTGTACTTTGTTTGGTTCATCTCTGTTCTATTCCTGTTTTATTCCTTTAGAGTGATTATTGTGATGTGTGTACTTTGTTTGGTTCATCTCTGTTCTATTCCTGTTTTATTCCTTTAGAGAGTGATTTTTGTGATGTGTGTACTTTGTTTGGTTCATCTCTGTTCTATTCCTGTTTCATTCCTTTAGAGAGTGATGTGTGTACTTTCAGGGAGGAGGGCACAAGATACTGCCTAACTGCACATTGCCATTAACGGGAAAGAACTGCGTGGATTTGATAATCACAGAAAAGGTAACAGTAGTCAGTAACTTTGCTTTAAACAAAACATTTTTAGGGCATTTTACCTGAAGACACCAACTAGTACATTGACGTCACAGTATTTTCTAAAATGGACAATGCTGTCTATGAACACAATTGACACTGTATTCTTACCAAACAAATACCCTTCAACTTTTAGTAAAACGAATACTTAGTATCAGTCTACTAGTACTAGATAGGCAGTGATAAGCTAGTGTATGGTTGGAAAACTATAACTGTGTTATGAATTTACCCTGTAATACTTATTTTACTTATAAGTAGTAATATAGTATATACTATAATTGATTTATCAAATAGCAGCTGTTTCTCTGACTCAGCTATGCAGTATGAAAGCTTGCATCAATCTAAGTCCTGCTGCTCTGCATGTCATTTGGACGCATTTAATTGCTTACCTTAATTCAACGTGTGGTCGCCGTTTATTTCAGTGTGTGTTCAAGGTGGACGCTGAGGAAGGCCTTACAGTAGTGGAGATAGCAGACGGTGTCACAGTCGAAGACATTGTCAACGACACTGGCTGTCAGTTCAAGGTACACGTCGCACACGTCGCACCACTTTTACACGGTTAACACGTACAAAATGTTCTCGTCACCGGGTAATGCAATCGACGTATGCATCCAAGGGAGATCGCCATGCATCCTCTACGATATCGTTGCTAGGGGCGCCAAGCTTACCCGGTTCGCACATGTCGTCTTGAATACCAAAAAGTCTTATTTCTTAAGTTTACAGCCCTTCATGGCAATGTCTTATCCCAAGAGTTATTGACTGTCAATCATGCTAGGCAGATATGGTTTAAATGTAGTAAATTGCATTGCTGTCATATCAATTGTTAGACTTATGTCAGTTGTACTTAATGCTTACAGGTCTCCCCTGATCTGAAACCCATGAAACAAGTGGAGATATAAAGCACGTGCTGCCATCTGGTGACCTGGCATTAATGCTCAAGGATTGCGAGTGAATCTCTAGGATCAAAGTTGAACAGTGCACATCTGAATATGAATATGAATATGAATGTGTGCATTCTCTGTGTGAAAGTAGGATGCCGACCCCAGCAACTACAGATATACCTGCCAAATACAGCGGGAAATTGTTGGAACGCTGTAGGGAATAGAATGTTAGCGTTGCATGTATCACCTGAGGCGAGGAGATTCGAGCTATTATTTCCTACTATTGCACGACAAGAGATGTTTGTTAGGCCATAATAAAAATATTGTTTGTTTGCCCTCACCCGACCGACCCGCCAAAAAGGGGCCGACTCAAACATTTTTATTGATCTTTCCCATTCTTTTTTTTTTACAAATTGTATCACTGCACATTATATAAAACTGTAGGCAATACAGTAAATGTACCAAGCAAAACAAACATGCAACATAAAAGGTATCTCCACACAAGCATACCCGAGCATGTAGACCCCATGCTGAATTTGTAAAAAGACCCCCTCAAAAAAAAGTCTAAAGCCTACCTACCTACCCAAACTTTTCAGCCTGGGTCGGGTGAGGGCAAACAAATTTTTTTTGTAATTGTGGCCTTATTTGTGTCAGTGATCAACGCGCAACCGAAATTAAAGTATGTCTACTAGTCGTCTGTTGCATACCAAACGTGACCGAGTCAGTCGACGCAAACTGACAAAAACATGCAAGATATCTATAGATATCTAAAAGAGCATGGAGTGTGCCAATCGTTACACATTGACCTGATGTAGGTATCAGTCAGTTAGAATTACGATGTATAGTTCGGTATATAATAAGGCAGGAAGTTGGGAGTAGGAGATGGTAGTGGCATCATGGTAATATCACGTACGTAGTTAGTTGATATGAAATTGAGGTGTTACAAGATCGCCTGGCCTTCCAAATAAATAAATAAATATATAAATGTAGCGTTTTACCACACACTGTGCATTGGCGGAATGCCTGTAGGGTATTATTTCGATGTTGGCACAGCTCCACAAGTGCGTGAATGCAGAATGTGAAGTCAGACTATAGTTATTATACACACCTGGTCTTCAGAAAGATTTGTTTTTCTACACTGTGACATGGCCTCGCCAAAATCTAAACAATATCGGCTGGGTGCCCCAGATGTGCACGTGTGCGGTTAAACAAGCGACCTCAGGAGAGTCATAATGGTGTACGATGGTGTAAATTAAACGATAAGAAATCATGATATTGGGGTACAAGCTGGCAAAGTGTCAAGTTGATACTATTATATTGGATGTACTCGACATTTTTGCAGTGTCATTCAATAGAATATTCGTGATAATTGTCTTACTTTTGCAACACCTAATAATATATCAGTATTTGTGAATTTAACGATTTGCACTTCCTCGCATTTTGTTGTACGTGATACATGAAAATAACTGCGGCACAGACCATATTTCCATTTTAGTAAACATTTATTATTAAATTCATTCATCGACCCATAAAACATCTGCTGCAGTTATTTACACGAGTCTCGAGCAGGTAACAAGAGTCTAGCATTGCTAAGTACTATACAAAATTCCCGTAACGACGCACACAAATGCAAACATTTAAATATGGAAGAGTCACTCTTCTTCCCTCGCTGGACTCCGACGCAGTTTACTTACTACCCCCAGATTAGAGCAGCTTATTGCAGCTGTCACGACAGAGCATACCTAGTAATAGCTTGTCACCCAGAAACATCGCTGAGCAATAGACGAGTGATTAAAGATGAAGCAATCAGACAAACTCCACCCCACGATTTCAGGGCTCGACCAAAACCTATAGATACTTACTCTCACATTATGTCACCAGCTGAATTTACACTAGTCGTTCTAAAACACAATAATCGATGAACATAATGAAAAGCTAATCACGGCCTTGTAACGAAGTTAATAATTGTCAGAAGCACAAGTACGAGCATGAAAATAACCCTAGTCTTGAATACTGCATGTTACAACTATCACCACATGGATGCAGATAGATACGTTGAAAAATCAAAGTGAAAATTAGACATTACAGATTTTATAATATGTTAAAAAATAGCTGATCTCTAGAAAAATCATGTTCACTCGGATGTTGTTCGACAACAAACTATCTACAGAATGGCTATCTACATACGGGATAATAGCTTCAGTAACTGTACATCACTTTTCTGATGTTATATAGAGCAATTTTTACAAACCTACATATGCACATACAAGCCATACCAGGATCACACACTGAACCACGGTGTACATGTACAAATATGTCTGGCAGAAAAAACCTGCACACATTATAATACATGATCGTATAGAATTATAACGTTAACAGCATTTATCAGCATGCACACCTTTCTGTCTCTCCATCCTCGCAACATCTAGGGGGCAGTTAAACGCGGTTAAACCTGAGAAACACATGGCAACCCTTATAGATATGTCTATTGCAAGTAACATGTGCCTAAAAATCCACAAGGTACCGTAGGCTGGAATTATTTTGGACACACCAAACGTATATTAAAACAGCAATGGTGGACAGAGATTTGAGATATAAAAGAAGTTATATTTACATATATATATTTATATTTTTATATTTATATTGAAGTTAGTCCTTATTAATGGAAATAAAAAGCAGCAATTAAATTGTCATGTAACCAGACAAGAATAACCAACAACCTTTGTAGTTTCAAATGTGGATTCTAAACACTTTACCAGATTTCTGCAGAAAATGATGCAGAAAAAAGTTTGGAGATGTCAAAAAAAAACGTTTCATAGAGGGGAATTACGGCTGGGATACCCACAACAGATGTACTTTTAAGGATGGCACAACAACACACCTACAATCTATCAAAATACCTCATGTCCCAGCTGAGGCACAACAATGATCGAATGAATGGAGTAAGGGTGGAAAATTACTTCAAAACAATGAAACATTACCTATATTTCCTAGCTTAGCGCCCCATAAGGACATAGCTGATTAAATAAACAACGGCTTTGTGGCTGCACTATGACCAGATTCCTGTATTCCAAGGTTTATATAGCAGAATAAATATAAATGCCCTTCTGACCACTAGGGAAATTAAAGACACTCCAACACTACATAAAACTACTGCTACTTCTACAAATTAAAACTTTCTCCACAACCACACGTGCCTTTGATATTTGGGTTGTTAAATATGAATTCAGTAGCTAACTTGGTTTCATGAAAGTCCATTTCTGTTCCGAGTAGAGAGAGTTGAGCCTTCTTGTCAATCAGTACGGTTACACCTGTTTCGAGAAAATACGTATAAACGACTATTAAACGTTCTTGGGAGCGAATATATGGATAAAAATATAACGGAAGTACTTTTTCCTTTTCCTTGCATTCCTGAATAGCACTCTACTAAATTAATTTTACGCTTACCATGAAATAATGTACCCAATGAAATTATAGTTCAAACTAGTAAACAAATTAAGTTACAGACCTGATCGATATCGATATCAATACAGACATCAATATCAAATCAAAGTGACATTGATATGCCTTAAATCTATAAATCACGGTCTCAACACCTCCTAATTAGTGTGAAATAAAATCCTGAATATATCCCACAGGTCCACAATCTCGTACCTAACACGTTCAATGCTGCCGGTGTTAACAATGCACCTACCGCCCTGCACTGGGATTTTCGTGTTTTTACCGCATATTCACTTTGATTTACCACATTTCCTTTGCAGAAAAGCTAACCAAACTGACACATTTACTCTGCATGAGTGTTATCTCACCCGTACACATTCAAATAATATGAAAATCGTTCCCCTTCATAATAATATATTGATATGAAAACATGGAAAAAAACGGACATTTAGTGCATTTTCGTCTCAAATGACACCGCACCGGTGGATTTTCGCGAGTTTGTTATGATATCATTCAACAGTATACTATTTTTTCCCGGAAAGAACTGTGACAACGTTTACACATGTGTGGGGTATGAATCTTGTTTTGTTTTTCTACATGCAAAAATACCTCGAAATTTTATATACTACACAGTTATTATATTATATACCGTTAGGAAAACGGTAAACAAACCTTGTTTCGATCTACACCTTCTAGTTTTCCTTCTAGTTTTACGAATTTACCTTGAGTCTCAAAACTCATAATTTCATGTTCGAATCAATGATAGAGCATTATATTCTTTAGTTCATGTATGACTGGGGTAATATAGACTGTTCCTGTTTAATTTCTAGGTAGGTAGTGCCTGCCATCTGTTGGAAATCAAAGTAACAAAAACCAATAATCTTTCAACGAGCTGACTCGTGGATCCACGGGGGTGCGTTTTGATTGTTCCCACGAGCTGACTCGTGGATCCGCGGGGGTGCGTGTTAAGAAGCCCTTGTATTGAGCCAGATGTGTTATGGAATTTTCCAGATTTCTGAACGGTAGCACAGTACATATATCGTATATTATGGTAAAACCCCATCGGAGCCTGTAGCAGCACCCCGTAATGACTCATTAATATTTCTCCAGTGAACCTTGTGAGCATTCACACAATCTTCGCCATCTGAGAAAACCACGGGGCTCAAAAAAAGCCCCGTCATTTACTTGACAGGGCTGATTTTCTCTCTAGAAGAGGGGCTGATTTTTGTGTTTCTCGATTCGACTTTCGTTTTCAATTCTCGGAATCTCGAAATTTGACAGGGGGCCCGGAAAAAAAGCCCTGTGTACACCGGAGACAGGGCACAGGGGCTATTTACGGGGTTTGGGCCGATCGGCCCCGTGAAAAGCCGAATAAATAAATAACAGTACTAGTTTATTTGTACAGTAATAATTTAGTAAATGATATAGTGGGATCAAAATATGCCATAAATACTCTAGTATATGGTGTGCATCGTGAAATTTGGCAGTTTTGTGAGATATTCTGTGCCACTCGGGTCATGTGGCGTGCAGGACTGACTCGCCGTGAATAAAACATTACATTTTAAAAGCTTTTTGAATTTCTAAACTGCAAATAGAGTAATGTGGAACTGTACACATACCATCTTGCTCCACGACTTCATCAAATTTGCCTTTTTCTTTCACATAATCCAACGTGTAAGTAAGACCATTGCAACCTCGCGTTCTGACGCCTACTCTTAACGCAATCTGGAAAATATATATAACAGGTGATACATCCAATGGATGTTCCAACACTTTCTAAAGTTTTCATTTAATTGTAACTGCTAATGTATACATTCTTTACAATTAGCCAATTGAACAGATGTAGTTATGTTATTTTGTGGGAAGATAAAAAGTGAAAACAAAGAAGAAACGATTTTGTAGTGAGGAAAACAATTGTAATTTTAATAAGGTAAACAAATTTATTCTTGAACTTACAACATCTGGTTCATCCTTCAGCAGTGATTTGATTCGTGTGACAGCAGCAGGGGTCTGCATGTAAAACAAGTTCCCATATGATGATAAAGCATGACCAATTCACATTATTATCATATAGGCATATTATAAGAAGTTAGGGCGCATTAAAACGACCGCTATGTAAATAAGGCTGAGAGGGTCAATGTCCCCCGGGGTACTGCCAGAGCGTACCCTGGTACTCATCTTTAATATCCCGACGATCCGTCCCTCGCTCTACCTTCCAGTAACATTTGCCGGACACCAGAGCGAGTACGCGCGTTTGGCGGAGTCTAGGGAGATCGCTCTACGCCTACTCCTACGATTCCTGAAATCATATCAATAGTGACCAGGTACGTTCCGGTATACCGGACCGTACCCAGGGACGTTTCCGGCAGACCTGGGGACATTAGACCCATGTCAGCTATGATGCGTGAAATCATGCTGCTTGCACACCCCACTTTTTGATAGTGTCTTTCGACAACTGGCCCAATGCACATAATTTACTAAGAACAAATTTACTAACGTTTCACTCAACTCGCCCTCCTACCAATTCTAAACTAATATACACCAGCTTGTATATTATGTACGGTAATTTCTTGTGAACTGCGGTGTAAGTAAACCGATTTTTGAATTGAATTGAATGAAATTTTTTTGCTTGAGAACGAGGACTCCAGATTATGCGAAGTTCACCCTTGATTGCCCAGTGATTGGCTTATGCTGGTAACACACGTAGCCCGTTCGTATGACTACTTCGTAGCGATCCAGAGCCACCGGCTAAACCAGTCGCTGTGTAAATGTAATCTAGCATCCTAGTCCAACTCTACAGCCACTGAAAGGGGTTCTAAATTCAGTAATCAGCGGATTCACTTTTACGCTTGCGTAGGGCCCTATTTTCTGTTGCCGCATTCGGTTGACCCAGGTGAGTCCTATGTTTCGTTAGCAGTAAGATACCATTAGAAGTTAATCCTAGTCACCACAACCACATAAGTATTCACTGATAAAATAGTAACAGTAATAAACTACTCGGCGCAACAAGACATGTTATCCCTTCGTGTATTAAGAGCCTTTTCGTTGACTTTTACCAGGCCCCAGAACAGAATCCGCACCGAAAACCGAAACTCTCCGACCTAGACCGCCATCAAACGTTGATCTTGTCATGGTCTCTTAAATGAACTGTTGAGACGTAAAAAAAAAATTATTTTTATTGATAACTCATATCTCTATGTCCAATAGAAAAACTATACAGCTAGCACCTATTTTTAAATAAAAAATTTACAAATATTTTACTAGTTACTTTTACTGAGTGGTTTGTGTAAGCTAATAAATAATGTCACGGAGTACCTGTGCAAGTGCTCTGTGCACGCCGTTTGGAGTGGATAAATATTCGGGGGATGTTAAGCGACATGCGCAACAATGCGCAGAGAGCACTAGACCTATTTACAGAGTTTATCAAGTAAGTTTACGTTTTATCGTTTCGCTAACACCCGCATCCTTTCTGCTATTTATGTTATTCGCATTAGTAGTCCTGATTAATTGCGCATACGATTTACTTTAAGTTCTCGTTGCGTAAAAGGCAATGCGGTGGAGGAACTCGAGATTTCAAGGTTGGCAAGTCGACTAATTGTCGTGCAATGTCTATCTAAAGAACTCTAGAGTCGTAAGACCTAAGTACACATATACAGGCTCTCTGACCGTCTGCTTTCATAATAAACATGATGGTTAATAATACAACTTGTCAGTACGTCTATTGACTGGACAGTACAGCAAGTACTTAATGTGTATATTGACCCCCTAATAACTCATACTCAACAACGTTCAATAGGCTAACACCATATGCAACAAGTCATAGCCGCTAGCCATTAGTGCATGCAGCAAACAATATACAAAACACCGTGTTAGAGTAAATAACACTCAACCTACTGTTCCATTTGTGCTGCACCAAAAGGTGCGGGCTTGTTTGCATAGGTGTATTGAACGTGTTGAAGCGTGGAAGTTACTAGTCAAATCCCAACATGAAGCCTATGTCTGGTTCTGAATAAGTATGTAATAGGCTACTCGACTAATTGTCGATTATTAACCATCATTTTAATTAGTGAAAAGCGTCCAAGCCGCTGACTAAGTACGACGAATAATTCGGTCCCATATTTCACTTTTTAGCTTCCTCTACATATCGCGATCAGATGCAGCTTGTGAGAATCGGGATAGATGTCCCGTGCCGCCCCGTTGTCCGAGCCGTGCGTCCGTCCGCGTGCCGTGCGTCCGTGCCCGTCAACAGTGGAAGCATGCTCAAATTTCTTACACCAGTGCTCGACGTATACCGGTCACGATATTCGCGATGTGCGGGTAATCCGAAAACGCAGTCTTGGACTGTCTCGAAGCTGGGGTCTAAAGGTCCAAGGTCAACATTTTCTCTTCATATCTCTCTCTTAATCTATCTGCTGAGTGTAAAAGAGGGGAACATTCACGATCCCTTAACTTAAGGTATGAGGGGATGACACTGTCAGATTCGGCATTTTGTCTCCAATATGCTAACACGGCTCGACCTAGGGCCCCTTTTCCTGCCTGATCGTCGGCCTGTTGCATCAGGTAGGATTAAACCTCACGTGCCGAAATTGGAGGTCACCAGTCAATGTTCAGTGGGCACAGGCAGATCTTAGACATTTTCTGAGGACATGGTCTGACTGAGCGAGGTGTAAAAACTTTTTGTTTCAGCGGGTGGACCTAGCATTTTTATGCTTTTATGAAAGGACCACATGAAAGTCCCTTCTGCTGACATCACAGAGTATGGTCGGATAACCTTTGACCTCAATGAGGAGGCTTAAACCCTTGATTTGTTTATGACTGTTCTTGTTCACGAAAGAATTTGACTGGCGGGTTTGCTAAGTAGACGATCTATACATGCCACCATTGGATGTATGAGGCTATACAACTGTCACAGTGAACTTTCAAAAGCTAAAATTTGTGTTAAGAAGGTGTATGTTCCTTTAAGATCGTATAATTTCTATGTCATTCTGTATCTGTCAGTAGTTACATGTAACGTATGCCACTGCTCAGTAGGCTGCTGCCATCAGTCGCCAAGTTTGTGGGCAGGTTTGCCTAGCCTTTAAATGGTTACAGGTTGCAGCTCTCTATTGCAATTCTGCAGCCTGTAGGCTGTCGTAGTAAAGTGGATGATGCTTACGCTATTCTGTCTTGCAAATAGTTGTTGCACTACGTATGATGGGAGCTTCCATCGTTTAATCTGAAGGACAGGCTAATTACTTCTCGTTAAACACGCTACGCGCCATCTCAATGGCAACTTTATAACAGACCCTGAACGAACTTCTGCTTGAGAGAGGTTCGCTGATCACTCATCGCCTGTGCATTCCCTGTTTCGGTCGCGTGTATGTGACACACATTTGGGACCACAGGGTTACTAGAATCTCCACCACGCCACCACGTAGAGTCACCCGCAGTAGAACGAATTAGTGAGGCTTGCTCCGCGGCCAACTTGATGCTTAATATTTTGGTGTAGTGAGTTTATGGCGCGTATGAAGATCGAAGACGGGATATCTTGCATTCCCGCGCCGGTGAGATCGCATTGGAAGCATGCGCTGCTAATGCGCCCGAGGCCGCTAATTCGGTGCGGAAAAAAAACCCTATGTAAGCCGTCCTTGCCTACATGGCTTTACTTGCTACTACTGATGAAGTAATACACTTCACCTTCAATCGGTTATTAACTTCTTATAATAGATTGGTTTTTCAAGAACCCCCGCTCCATTGTAACGTTTAGATTAGTCAATTACGTTGAGCTCGCCAGGTATATCGTCAAATTTACAAACAATCCGAATACCAAATCACAAGCAGATCTCTAGGCCTCCTGCAGCGCCAAAGATACATAAGCGATAGAAAATTA